AAGTCAAGGACATCAAAAGGAGTGTTCCTACAAGGACTTCATGCCTGCAAAACCCAAGTCTTTCGACGGAAATGGAGGTGTCATCGCTCTAACTCGATGGTTCGAGAAGATCGAATCCATCTTCGAAATTTGCGTTTGTTATGAAGCAAACAAGGTGAAGTTCGCCGCCTGCACCTTCACCGACAGAGCCTTGACCTGGTGGAATGGTCGGGTCAAAACCCTAACCCTGCCAGTGGCTAATGCCATGGGTTGGGAAAGACTGAAGGAACTCATGCTGGCTGAATACTGCCCAAGGGGCGAAGTGCAAAAGTTGGAGCACAAACGTTGGAACTTGAAGATGAGGGGTTCAGACATTGCTGCCTACACGGCTAGATTCTGTGATCTGGCACTTCTCTGTCCGGGAATGGTCACCCCGGAAAGCAAAAAAATCGAGAGGTATGTCTGGGGACTGACGCAACCAACCAAAGGAAATGTTTTGGCTGCTAGACCGACTACATTTGAGAGCGCCAAGGATCTGGCGCAGGTTCTGATCGATAATGGGGTTGACCTAGATGAGGTGGCAGCTGTTTCCGAGCCACAAAAGGAAAGTGGTGGGACGAAGAAGAAATCATGGAATAAGCGGAAGGGTCAGTCTTCGCAGGAGCCCTCCAAGAAACAACAAACAGTGACAGTTCATGTTGTTACTGCTCCTGCTGCTGCCTCAGCTACTGTTCCAACCACCCAAGCTCCTACCGGTGTTTATGTTGGGAAACTACCTTTATGGAACAAGTGTAACTTCCATCATCACGGACCCTGCCGTGAGTTGAGTTGCAACAGCTGTGGGAAGAAGGGTCACACAGCTCGATACTGCAAGGTGCCAGCCCAACCAACCAACCAGACTGCGGGAGCAGGTGCGGGTCAAGCTTGTTATGGATGTGGAGAGGTTGGGCATTTCAGGAGAAACTGCCCCAAGGCAACAACTGGTGGCAATACAGGGAGAATTTTGGCGATGGGCCAGAATGAAGCGGTCGTTGATCCTACCGTTGTTACGGGTACGTTCCTCCTTGACAACTCTTATGCATGCATCCTTTTCGATTCTGGTGTGGAGAGGAGTTTTGTTAGTCATGCATTCAAACATCTAATCAATTGTCAATCCCAACCTTTAACCGAAACATTTACCGTCGAGATGGCTAACGGAAAGAAGGAGAGCACCAACGACATATTCATAGGCTATACTCTTACCCTAGACAATTACTCCTTTCCCATCGACCTTATGTCTATGTCCATCAAGAGCTTCGATGTCATTATCGGCATGGATTGGTTGAGTCCCAATCATGTTGATATTTTTTGCTTCGAGAAGGCTATCCGTCTCAATCTTCCCTCTGGCGAAACCATTATGATTTATGGTGATAAGCTCAGTTCGAACCCCCGTATCATTCGTGCATCAAAGCTCAGAAGTACCTGCGAAAGGAGTGTCATGCATTCCTAGCTCATGCTGTCAACGAAACGCAAAATGTTAGAGACCTCGAGAGCATCCCCGAAGTCTGTAACTTTCCTGATGTTTTTCCCGAAGATCTCCCAGGAATCCCTCCCGAGCGCCAAGTCGAGTTTCGTATCGACTTAATCCCCGGAGCTACTCCTGTAGCTAAATCTCCTTACCGCTTAGCGCCAGCGGAAATGCAGGAATTATCCAGCCAGCTCAATGAGCTGATCAGCAAAGGATTCATAAGGCCGAGTTCCTCACCCTGGGGAGCTCCGATCTTATTCGTGAAGAAGAAAGACGGATCTTTTCGGATGTGTATCGACTACCGAGAGTTGAACAAGCTTACCATCAAGAACCGATATCCCTTACCCAGAATCGACGATCTCTTCGACCAACTTCTGGGAGCCAGTTATTTCTCCAAGATCGATCTGAGATCAGGGTACCATCAGTTGCGAGTTCAGGAGAATGATGTGCCCAAAACAGCATTCCGAACTCGCTATGGACACTACGAGTTTGTAGTGATGCCCTTTGGTCTAACCAATGCACCGGCAGTATTCATGGACCTGATGAATCGGGTGTGCCGCCCTTTCCTAGACAAGTTTGTGATCGTGTTCATCGATGACATACTTGTCTATTCGCGGAGTGAGAGTGATCATAAACACCACTTGAGACAGGTGTTGGAAACATTAAGGGCGAAAAAGCTATACGCGAAATTTTCAAAGTGCGAGTTCTGGATCAGGAAGGTAAATTTCCTTGGGCACGTGGTTAGCAAGGAAGGTATTCACGTAGACCCTTCCAAGATCAAAGCGATAGAGAATTGGTCTGCACCTAAGACACCCACAGAAATCCGGCAATTCTTGGGCCTCGCGGGCTATTATCGCAGGTTCATCCAGAACTTCTCCAGAATCGCTAAGCCCTTAACTACCCTCACACAGAAAGGTGTAACCTTTAGTTGGGGAGTCAAGCAAGACACTGCATTTCAAACATTGAAGCAGGCCCTATGCAGCGCACTTATCTTGTCCTTGCCCGAAGGGACGGAAGACTTCGTGGTCTATTGTGATGCATCCAATCAGGGCCTAGGATGTGTGCTTATGCAGCGAGGAAAGGTCATCGCCTATGCCTCGAGGCAGTTGAAAACACACGAGGTCAATTACACAACTCACGATCTAGAGTTGGGAGCAGTGGTCTTTGCATTGAAAATCTGGAGACACTATCTCTATGGAACCAAGTGCACTATCTTTACCGACTATAAGAGCTTGCAGCACATCCTGTTGGATTAGTGTCTAAGTCCGTAACTATATTTGGTATGTACTTGACCCGAGTGTGCATGGTCCTTTTGGGTTGCCTTCACCAAAGCAACTTGACAAGGTAATTTGATATGAGAGAGAAGATATTATGGTTTATTAATATATTATAAGAATAATATATTAAAGGAGAAATCATATTTATTTAATTAGTATTAGTCATAAATTAATTAGGAATTAATTTGGTGACTAAAAGAGATTAATTAAATAAAGGGGTATAAACTGTCAAATGTGTGATAGTTGAGTTTTGGGCTGGGAAACCTAATGGACTAAGGGGGAACGAAATTATGATGAGGGATCATCATATTTTCGTCCAAGGGCCTCATTCCAGAAGGTTCCTTTGGCTGCTTGGTGGCTAAGCTATCCATTAGGGTTTAGACTGAAACCCTAGCACCCTACAGTATAAATAGATGCCCTATGCTTCAATTTTAGGCCACTTGATTCCAAGAGAAACCCTAGGGCCGAAAATTAGTATCCTCCCCTCTCTCTTAATTGCCTTCTTGGCTTCAAGGTGTTTGTGAGCCATTAGAGGCACTACAATTGTGGTGCTTGCTTTCAAGAGTTCAAGAGATCAAGGAAACTAGTTGTTATTGCAATATAACAACAAAGGTATGTCTACTACACTTCTATATGATTTTCGAAAATTATAGAAGCATGCCAGGGTTTATTTTGTGTTCATATAGTTGTATGTCTTATAGTGAAAACATAGATCCAATTAGGGTTGCATGCACACATAGGATTGTTTGTATAAAACCTCAGTGGTATCAGAGCCTTTGGTTTTTGTTTTCAATTTGATTTGATACATATTATGAATTTGACAAATTAGGGTTTATGGCAAGTAAACCCTAAGGCTTGGTGTTTTTCGAAAATAGGGTTAAGAAACCCTAGTTGGCGATTTTTGTAGGGTTCTTAAACCCTTTTTGCCTAGCCTCCAAATTTCGAAATTAGGGTTATGAAACCCTAGGGATTTCGAAAATCCCTTGCCCCCCAAGACAAGATCCCAAAATTTTAGGGATTTGGATAATGCCATCTTTGTGATTATCAACTTAATTGTTTAAACTAGATAATTGAAGATCTTGAATTATCCTTTCCATAAATTTCGAAATCTAGGGGATAAAAAAGGATTAGGATAAATTAATTGTTTAATTTTATGATAATCCTTCATGATTTAATAATTAAATTAATTGTTTAATTTTGATAATTATTAAATCAAAGATTTTTGGTGTTTAAAATTTTAAATTGTCTAATTTTCGAAAATTTTAAATGCAACAAAGACACTAGTATTTTAAAATGTTTTAAAATACACCCTTATACAATTATGATATTATAAGATTAATTATTATATATATGTATAAGAATAAGCTAGTCTTATCGCTAGTAGGCCTCATTCACGAAGCCAGTCTATAAGGTGGGTATAAGGTTGCTGCCTATAAAATGGCGCTTAATGGATGTACACTCACATCTACCGCTTGCTTGACTGGTGGAGGGTCGTTAGCCGAACGGATAGGATAGGGCACTTAATTCCTCATTATAAGTATAATGGAAATATTAAAGTAACTACATTGTTTTACAAATTCCCACTCTTAGTTACTTTAGGGTAAAATGTGAAAATGATGCTATTCCATGGAATTACACTTTGTACCCCTGTCAAACGTTAGTGGAGCGTGCGTGGTTAACCAGCACACTAATTTGGGATTGACATTGGTGACAAAGGGTGGCTCGATGTCTTATCATAGATCAATGGAGCGTGCGTGGCTAACCAGCATTGATTAGGTGATGAAGACATTGAGTGCACCATGATGATTCGCATGGTTATTCACAAACTTGTTTGCGATCCTCGGCATCCCAGTCGCAAATTTGAAGTGCATATCGAGATTTAAACATGCCATTGAAATGTTCAATGAATCTCAAAAGAAATCTAGGAATTTTCAAATACATTTAAAACTTAACCTCTTTCGTTTTTCATGGTGAAAATTAGTGAATCGTCATTCACTTACCTTCAAATTATTTACTTTTAGATTACGGCATCCCTTTTCTAAGTTGTAAATAATGTTGTTGGATCCTAGCCCTAATTTCTCATGTGGGTGTTTAATTAGGGATTCATTCTAATCAAACTTTGTTCCTTTCTATTTCAGATGTCAAACGCAAACGCAAACAACAACACTTCTGGGTCATTCTCGTTGATGAACCTGTGTCAAAAAGTGACATTTGATGGCTCGAACTTCAACGAGTAGATGAGATACATTCGCATGATAACTCGTTATGAGGACAAAGAATATGTCCTAGACGAGAAGCTTGAAAGGATCAACCCAGAAGAAGCTACTCCTGAAGAGATGGCCGCCTTTGAGGCCCACGAGCGTGATGCAACGAAAGTTCATTGCATCATGTTGGCCACCATGAACCTCGAACTCCAAAAGTCCTATGAGGACATGTATCCATATGAGATGCACAAGATTTGCTGGACAGGTACCACCAGAGCGCGAGGCAAGAGCGCTATGAGATCATCACCAACATGATCACCGCTAAGATGGGGAGTGGAGAATCCCTAACTGCTCATTTGCAAAGAATGCAAAGATATGTTGATCGTCTTCTCAAACTTAATGTTAAGTTTGATGAGGATTTGGCTATCGACATCATCCTCCACTCCTTGCCTTCCTGCTACAGCCAGTTCAGAATGACCTACCACATGAATAAGGAAGAGGTCACCCTAAGTAAGCTTCAAGGGCTCCTGAGGACAGCTGAGAGCAACCTCAAGGACAAATCTATTGCATCATCCTCTAATGTAGCTGCTCCTGTGTTGGCAATTGGCCAAGGAAAGGGAAAGAAGAGGAAGGCTCCTTCCAAGAGCCACCATAAGGGTAAGACCCAAGATGGTTCCTCTTCTAGTGGGACCAAAGCAGGTTCTATTAAGCCCTCTTCTGACCCCAAGGAAGCAGAGTGCTTCTATTGCCACCAGAAGGGCCACTGGAAACGAAGCTGCCCTAAATATCTGCAAGATATTAAGGATGGGAAGATAAAGCCCACCTTTGCAGGTATGTATTTAATTAAATCTAATAACTCATCATTTGCTACTTCATGGGTTCTTGATACAGGGTGTGGTTACCACATTTGTTCTGATATGCAGGGCCTAAAAAGAAGTAGGGAAGTGGAGCATGGAAGGATAAGCTTGATCATGGGAAACAAGAAGTCTTCACCAGTAACCAAGATCGGAGTTTATTCCTTAGTGTTGAGTAATGGGTTAGGACTAGATTTAAATAATTGTTGCTATTCGCCAGATATGGCAAGGAACATCATTTCTTTTCATGGTTTGTTTAGACAAGGTTTCAGATATTCATTTGATAATAGTAATGGTTCTATTAATGCTTATTTGAATGGTGTCTTTTATTTCAATGCATTACCTTGTAATGGGATTTATGAATCTGTGTTAGTTATTGACAATTTAGGAAATGATGTTTTGAATATTGATTCGTCCACAAGTTTGGACAAAGCATGCTTGTGGCATTGTCGCCTTGGCCATGTTAACAAGAAACGCATAGCCCAACTCCAAAAGGATGGAGTCTTGGAGTCTTTCGACCTTAGGGACGATGACGTGTGTGAGTCTTGTTTACTTGGGAAGATGACCAAGTCACCCTTTACTGGCACATGTGAAAGGGGTGAGGGTGTATTGGATCTCATACACACAGATGTATGTGGACCCTTTAGATCCACCACAAGGGACGCTTGTCGCTTCTACGTGACTTTTACAGACGATTATAGCAGATATGGATATATCTACTTAATCAAGCAAAAGTCAGAAACTTTGAAAAGTTCAAAGAGTTCAAGAATGAAGTGGAGAATCAGTTGGGCAGGAAAATCAAGATGCTTCGATCTGATCGAGGGGGAGAGTACCTAAGTCTTGAGTTTCACGACTATCTGAAAGAGTGTGGAATAGTTTCACAATTGACGCCTCCTAGAACGCCACAATTGAATGGTGTGGCTGAGAGACGTAATCGAACCTTGTTGGACATGGTTCGCTCTATGATGAGTCGTGCTTCGTTACCAATCTCATTCTGGGGGTATGCCTTGGAGACTGCCGCCCATATCCTTAACTTAGTTCCCACCAAGAAGGTTACCAAAAACACCTCACGAGATGTGGACAGGAAAAGCTCCCTCGTTAGCACATATCAAGGTTTGGGGTTGTGAAGCTTTCGTAAGACGAGAACTCACGACAAGCTAGAACCTCGTAGTGAGAAGTGTTATTCATTGGCTATCCACAGAAGTCTTTTGGTTATCTCTTCTATAGACCAAATGACAATGTTGTCTTTGTTGCTAGGAGAGGGGTTTTCAGAGAAAGAGAACTCATAAGCCAAGGAGACAGTGGGAGTCAGATTGACCTTGAAGAGCTTCAAGAGTCAGGAGAAGAAGGAACCTCTGACACTGGCATGCAACCTGAGGAGGAAACTCCTGTTGAACCTATTGACCAGTCCTTACCTCTTAGACGTTCAAGTAGAGTTATTGTTCCACCCCAGTTTTATGGTTTCCATATTACTACTGACGGGGATACGTTTATTAGTGATAGTACACTAGTAAATCTGGACGAACCTAACAGCTACAAGGAAGCCATGGCAGGCCCAGAGTCTGCTAAATGGAAAGAGGCAATGGACAGCGAGATTCAGTCCATGTATGACAACCAAGTTTGGAATTTGGTTGATAATGTACCAGGTCGTAAGACAGTCGGGTGCAAGTGGATCTTCAAGAAGAAGACAGACATGGATGGGAAAGTGCACACTTATAAAGCGCGATTGGTCGCGAAGGGCTTTACTCAAACTCCTGGAGTTGACTATGATGAGACCTTCTCACCAGTTGCGAAAATAAAGTCTATTAGGGTAATGCTTGCAATAGCTGCGTTTCATGATTATGAAATCTGGCAGATGGACGTAAAAACCGCTTTCCTAAATGGGAAGCTGGCTGAGGATGTTTACATGAATCAGCCAGAGGGTTTTGTCAATGCGAAGCATCCAAATAGAGTGTGCAAGCTTGAGAAATCCATTTATGGATTAAAGCAAGCATCTCGCAGGTGGAATCTTTGTTTTGACGAGAAGGTCAAAGAGTTTGGTTTTCTGCGAAATGAAGATGAGTCATGTGTATATGTCAAGGCCAGTGGGAGTATAGTGAGCTTCCTCGTATTGTATGTCGATGACATACTACTCATAGGAAACGACATCCCAACATTGCAGGAGGTCAAGTCCTGGCTTGGGAAGTGTTTCGCTATGAAGGACCTCGGAGAGGCTGCATATATTCTGGGAATAAGGATAGTGAGAGACAGAAGCAAGAGACTGATAGGACTCAGTCAGGATACATACTTGGAAAGGTACTAAAACGTTTTAGTATGGAAAATTCCAAGAAAGGGGAGTTACCAATCCAATGCAATACCAAACTGAGTAAGACTCAGAGCCCGAGTACAGAGGCAGAGATAGATGATATGAGCCGAGTACCTTACGCTTCCGCAGTTGGCTCGATTATGTACGCTATGACTTGTACTCGCCCTGATGTGGCTTTCGCTTTGAGCATGGTCAGCAGATATCAAGGGAACCCTGGTAGGGCACATTGGATTGCTGTCAAGAATATTCTTAAGTACCTACGAAGGACCAAGGAATGGTTTCTAGTCCTCGGTGGGAGTGATGACTTAAGGGTGCGAGGGTACAGTGACGCTAGTTTCCAGACAGATCGGGATAATTACCGATCACAGTCGGGCTGGGTCTTTACCCTGAATGGAGGAGCAGTGACTTGGAAAAGTTCCAAGCAAGAAACTGTAGCTGATTCAACGTGCGAATCAGAGTACATTGTGGCGAGCGAGGCGTCAAAGGAGGCTATATGGTTGAAGAACTTCATTGGAGACCTTGGAGTTGTGCCATCCATAAAGGAGCCCATGGAAATTTTCTGTGATAATGAAGGAGCGGTTGCCTTAACCAAGGAACCAAGGGATCATGGCAGATCTCGACATATCGACAGGAAATACCATTTTATTAGACATCGGGTAGAAGAGGGACTCCTCGTTGTGAAGAGGGTATCGTCGGAAGATAACCCAGCAGATCCCCTTACGAAGGGACTGAGTAGGGTTAAGCATTTGCAGCACGCTAGGAGCGTAGGGCTAAAGGACGATATTAGTTTAGATTAGATAGGTAGGAAACTTGTAATGGATGATCTTATATTCAACATTTGATGATTAAATAAAGGTGTGTTATTTATAAGAAAGTTTCTATCTTGTGTTGATTATTTATCTATTGTTTCAATTTTGCATGTTTTGACTTCCTGAATAATAAGATTATTCGAACAGCCCACAATCGCTCATATATTGGAAGTAGATATGAAGGAAGATTGTCATAAATTTGTTTGTAGATTGTCTGAAAAGTTTTTAGACATAGCAAAGGTTTGCTGCAAAGTTTATGAGTGCTTATGAAATTTGTATTGAGCATTGGAATAGACCCGCACTTGCTGGCATCGCTTCATGAATGTTATCACAAGTGATCGCAAGATGATAATATCATATAATCTTTAAACCTAGAGATATGGTTATTGTTTGCTAGTTGATTATACATTGATGATGCAAAAAACGCATCAGTAACTTGATGTTATAAAATGCATTATTGTGTGTGGCTTAGCTAGTAAATGATAAAAAGCATATAAGTCGACGTTTTCTGTTCCTTTTATTCTATGAAAATAAAAGCGATATCTTGGCCACTTGATGATTTGGTTTGACTTATGTGCCGGGCCCGGTCAGGATAAAGTTGATGTGTTCAACTGAGTTCTATGTCGAACAAATCAGAGATCAAGAAACAAAATGTTGAACAATAAAATATTGTTAGCATAATATCTAGAACAGAGGATTATATGATCCCTTATCTGAAGGACATATTATTGGTCAGAGTTGACAGCGGCTATTGAAAGCTACGATTGCTAATCGGATACGGAAGTCATATGTGAGATGTAGTTACTAGACTTATCCAAGTGGGAGACTGTTGGATTAGTGTCTAAGTCCGTAACTATATTTGGTATGTACTTGACCCGAGTGTGCATGGTCCTTTTGGGTTGCCTTCACCAAAGCAACTTGACAAGGTAATTTGATATGAGAGAGAAGATATTATGGTTTATTAATATATTATAAGAATAATATATTAAAGGAGAAATCATATTTATTTAATTAGTATTAGTCATAAATTAATTAGGAATTAATTTGGTGACTAAAAGAGATTAATTAAATAAAGGGGTATAAACTGTCAAATGTGTGATAGTTGAGTTTTGGGCTGGGAAACCTAATGGACTAAGGGGGAACGAAATTATGATGAGGGATCATCATATTTTCGTCCAAGGGCCTCATTCCAGAAGGTTCCTTTGGCTGCTTGGTGGCTAAGCTATCCATTAGGGTTTAGACTGAAACCCTAGCACCCTACAGTATAAATAGATGCCCTATGCTTCAATTTTAGGCCACTTGATTCCAAGAGAAACCCTAGGGCCGAAAATTAGTATCCTCCCTCTC